GCCTCGGCCCACCCGGCTGCCTCCCCGGGGGACTGCAGAAGTCAGGACGCCCCCAGGGAGGGCCGGCCCGGACCCTAAGCGGGGTCTTCAGGTTGGATACAAAGTAGGAAAAGTTATAACCCGGCCGGGACCTCCCTAAGCGGGGGTCTTCAGATTGGATACAAAGTAGGAAAAGTTATAGCCCGGCCGGGACCCTAAGCGGGTCTTCAGGTTGGATACAAAGTAGAAAAAGTTATAACCCGGCCGGGACCCTAAGCGGGTTTTCAGATTGGATACAAAGTAGGAAAAGTTCTAGCCCGGCCGGGACCGGGCTGGCTGCCCCCGGCTTCTCTCCCCGCCGGCTTTGCGCCCCAGCCACGCCGCCCCCTTCCCGCGGCGCCCCGGGAGACGCGGGAGAGGCTTTCCTGCCTTCGGGCGGCGGGAGCGCACCGGCCGGGGAACCGTCAGGGCGCCCCCCACCCCCGCCGCGCCGCCCCGGAGGAGTGAGCCTGTCCGAAGTCCACCGCGGGCGTAGCTAAGTTTGCAGAAGTTTTTTGAAGTCTTTTGCAAGCCTGGAGCCTGCTCCTGCCAGGAGCCGCGAGCAGCGAGGCCGGTTTCTTTTCCCGGAACCTTCTGATCCTTCCCGCGGGCTCACCTGGACTCAGCCTGGCCGGGCGGCGGGCGGGCGGCCGCGGGGTTGGGGCGTCGGGGTCTCACCCGCGCGGGCTCCTGTTGAGGACCAGGCGGCGGGGACCAGGCAACTGCAGCCCGGCGGCTCTACCCCCTGATCTTGCCCTTGCTTTGAGCTGCTTTTAAAAAACCTTGGCCTTGGAGGGGGAGATATAAACAACCCCGGGAGTTTATAAACAACCACCCCACCGCCCTGGCAGCAGGCAGCAGGGGTTTAATTCCAGCCCCGGGCCTGGGCTCCCCTGCCTGGGTGGGTCTCAGAGGGTCAGCTGCTCAGCACAGCCAGGGCAGCCACTTCCTGTTCATTGAAGGGCTCAGCAGGCAGGTGAAAAAAAGCCCTGAAGACCAGCTACTCTGTGCTTTTAATCTGGTTACAGAAGTGTCCCGGTTAAGGGGAGATCAGTTAGATAGAAGCTCTGCGGGGTTCCAGGCCCCGGTGGGATCTTGATCTAGCTACAAGGAATGTAATGTTCACTCTTTTTCAAAGAACCGTCGGAGTTCTTCCTTTTTAAGCTTTAGACGCCCTCCAGACTTCGATTACCATTTCTAAGACAAAACAAAATGTTGGCGGTGCCTCCAGAGCGGCCTCTGTTCCTGTGTTTTCTGAAAGCAAGAGTTTTCGAGGGGTCGGGAGCGAAGATAAGGTGGGCCAGCCCCTGGCCTCTTCCCCTACCCTTCCTCCCTTCAGGGAGTTTTGTTCCAGAGCCCATTTCAGTTTTAAGTCATTCTAATCCCTTTTCCCAAAGAGACCCAGCTCCCAGAGAGTGCCGAGCCCCCCTTGTGAGAGGGGCCCTGACATCCCGGGGCCCTGGGGTCACTCTCAGGTAAGAGCAGATGGAAGGAGGCAGGCCAGTCATCAGCCAAAGTAAGCTCAGGTGCCCCGAACACACTAAGGGATCTGTGGCTTCCTTTGGGGTAAATCAGGATCCCTTCTGAACCTCCCCTCCTCCGCCAGGAACCCCAGAATTGAGTGATGAACAGAGAACCTTTAGGACTTTCTCAAGCCACCACATGAAAGTATTTATTTCCTTCTGAAAGCATGAAAAATCATATAGATTGCTGTTACGGGCCCTCAGGGAGGGTTTTGTTTGGTTTTTGTTTTTAGCAGAAATCTTAACAACCATAGAGGTTTCCTTTTAAAAAATGACTTTTGACCATTTGCTCTTTTTTTAAAATCTCATTTGTTTTACTGAGTGATGGTTTGTAGGCTACTAAAAGATCAAGGTACAGAGCTCTTGAAAGAAGTTCCAGAGGGTCTTGGGAACATTTGGGGGAAAGGACAGGACTCAGAGAAGCCAGACCACTCGATTAATATCTGTCGTCACTTCGCTCCCCACAAAGAGAGGCCCCTTCCTGAAGGAAACCTGCTCATCACGTAACTGAAAGGCCAGATGAAATTTTCAGGAGGGAACCGGGGCAGAGGGTGGGGGTGAGAGCGAGCTAAACCTCAACCCTGCACGCATCCGGCTGGGCGCATGGTCCCCGGCTCCACTCTGCACCCTCCACCCACCCACCTCCCAGGCAGTTGCTACAGAAATTACTACTTTCAAAATTTGAATTGTAAATAACCCTCAGACAATCCCTTTGAGAAGTTAATCAGTAAAGAATTATGTTCCTTGTAATAAGGGGGGAAAAAAGGCAAAACAGTGATCGATCTGATGCTATTGATGAAAGGGCATGTAGGTCACTTTTAAGAGTGTTCTGGAGGCCTCTGCTTGAATCTTGGAAACTGAGGGGGGAGTACAATTACGAATTTCCCTTAAAACAGATGAAAATCGTCCCAGTTGCTTATCCTGGACCCCAAAATGTGCCCCCTCTCTCCCACGGAACACCTTTATTTTTTTTTTTTAGGGTAGGAGAGATGAATACTTGACTATTGAGAAAAATCTTAAATTTGCTCTGTTACCCATTATTTCCAGAAGCGGCCTCCAAAGCCGTGTGGGTGGCTCAGGATAGGTTTCATAATACGTAATGAAACGGTAACGTTGCAGTTTGTTTAGGCCCCGCTGCACCAGAACCCAGAGGCACAGGCTCAGGGCGCCGTCAGCCAGCCAGAGGCCCGGGATGCTGATAGCAATATTCTTTTCGTAAGAGAAGAAACAGGTCACGCGCCTGTCTTGTCGGTGAGATCGCAGTCCTGGGCCGTGCGTTCAGTGTCATCTCCGCTGAACCCTGAGTTCCACTTCACAGCTTTCTTTGAAACACTGGAAAATTAAGGGATTTGGAATAAGTGAATTGTAACTGTAATGTCAGCCTAATTAGAGTTGGTTTCCATGCCAGTTTGAACTGTGAGCAGCCTGGCCGAGGGCACTGTGGGCAGGGCCCTGTAGAGGAGGGTTGATATTTTGCCCAACTTCCTGATACTTTAAAAACAGAGAAGTAAAACAAAACGCGAGATACCCTTTGGCCGACAAGTCCCTTCTTGCCTGTTTGGTCTGTGCTAAAATGAAAATGTTTGTGTTTCCTCACCTATTGTTTATCGCTGTTCATTCCAGTTGCTGTGTTTTTCTGTTTAAAATTAGGTTTTTTTAAAAAAATTCTCTTTATATTGCTTATCAGTGATAAAATCTTTCAAATTAGCAGACATGTTAGTTTTAAATTTAGATTTTTTTCTGCCTTAGTCTGAGCGTGCTTTTTAATCATTAGATGACATACGTTATCTAAATTAATGTAATTTTCCTGGATTTAATATTCTCCTCTTTCCCCACATGCAAAAGAAAAAAAAAAAAATCCCTCCAAGATCAATAAAAGGCCAAGTAAATGATGTTTTAGCGCCCAAGTATCTGTGATTCCTGCTGCTTTTTTTTTAGGAAAAAAACAGAGGGGTAGGAGTCAAACTCCTAATTTTTTTTAGCCTCAAATTCCAACCTCGACAGTCTTTTCTGATGTAGCTGCCATGAGCGTTTCGCTCTGTTTGTGTCCCTCGGCGAAGGCCTCGTGAGCTTGCACAGTTGCTGCTGAGGGCAGTTCTGACGGTGGGGGGGGCGCGGGCAGAGAGCACTGCGAGAGGAGCCCGAGGGAGGGCGGTGGTTTGGAACACGTTTCGGTAGCTGCAGAGCAGGAGCGTTTCTTTTCCCGTCTCCGCAGCGCGCCCCACGCGTGGGGCCGGGCCGGGCAGCCACGTGGGGGGCCTGCCCCTGTGCACTTGCCGGGGGTGGAATTCAGATCCAGAGGCCGGGCCACCCCAGCGCGAGGGGCCTGGGGAAGTAGGAATATGTGTTCAAGGGGGACGTTTCAACACTGCGAGCTAATTTTACAGAGGGAACTGAAAACAGTGGGGGGAAAGTGGAAAAATTTTTTAAGAGACTGAATTTTTTAAGAGAATTAAGCCAAGCCGTTTGTGGGAGTCGGGTAAGACGGCAGCAACTGGTCGGGGAGATTTACTTCAGTGATGTTTTGAAACAAAAGGGAATCGTCATATTACTGCTCTTAATTAAACAGCAACAAACACACTTATAATGGGAACTAAATACCTAATTAGAGGGTGCTCGGGGAATAAATAGCTGTGTTTTTAAACCTCCTTTATAGAAAACATGTCCACCAATTGGATGGAAAGGATTAGAAAGAGAGACAAAGGCCAGGCCTTGTTTGAAAATGCACGTTGGATAGACCTGGCGGCAGGAGCCTGCCTGTCGCGTGAGAGCCGTGCCCCGCGTCCGCCCTCCCTCCTGCGGGTGGCTCACTTTCCCCGCAGCCCCAGAGCCGGGAGCCCCGCGCTGCCCCAAACCATAGGCGGTCAGCTGGGGACCCGGGGCGGGGTGGCCAGGCAGGCCACGGAGACAGGATTTTGAGAGCCGTGGTTCTGCTGTGCTACAAGCCAGCCTACGGCAGCCAGAACAGGAGGCCTAACCCGTAGGTATTGGCCAGACATGATGCAGCGATGATTAGGTGAAAATCGGGGGGTGCCAAACAGGGGAAGAGGTGACGCTGTAGGATGCTTTCCCGTCCGGACTCAAAAACAAAACCATGTGGATGGCATGTAACTGGAGTGAACAGCACAGACGTCACTGGTGATGGAGAAAGGGCCCCCAGAAAGACCAGAAATGGCGAGAACAAATAAAATGGGGGGCATTTTGATCTGAGAGTCTGCAATCACTTGACAAACTAGAAACAGTGGAAATGTAGCTGATGAATTTTCCTTCAAGAAAATTATTTCTAGAAGGGTCAAAAGACGACCAGGGAGTGGGCACTGCTCCACAGGGCCTTTGTGCCATCCTTTGGGGCACTTTACTTTGAAATGGCTGCTGCATTGTCACCCGAATAGCAAACATACACATCTACCAGTTTTCTCCAATGGCCCTGCTAGGAAGTTGATTTCTGTTCAATGACAGGAAAGGAATCTCCTCAAGATCAGTGGGTGGGAGGAGGCCTGGGTCCCGTTAGGACCTAGTTAACGCACCTCTGGGGCTCACAGATACACGGGCCCGAACTCTCTGCTGGTGAAAACCAAGGCCGTAGACACACGAGGGGGTTTCAAAGGTGAACTGCAGAGGGACAGTTTCGAATCTCCAGCAATTCAGTTGCAATGATCACATTTCGTTGTAGCAGAAATAAGTTTAGACACCTAAAAGCAAAGGGCCCCTTTTAGGCCTGCCGTTGGAGGCCTGGACAAGCGGAAGATGGGTCAGGCTGTAAAACTTCCAGAAGCAAGACCTTCCGTGTCTCAGACATGGAGAATTGAGAGAACTGAGTGTTTGCAAAAAGGCATAGCTTTCCCGGGTCCTCGCCGCGGCTAGCCTGGCCCCAGCCGAGCCCCGCACCCCTACGTGGCTTTCTCAGGTGAATGTTACAGGATTTGAAAATTTACATTTAGCTGTGCATAATGGAATTCAAAGTAACTCTTCCCAGTAATAACTTTTTTGATGTTTTGCTTAACTTAGGATTGCTTTTCCTGCACAGACTGACAAGGGTCATGGAACATTCGCTTAATTTTATTTTTATTTATCTTTTTTATTCTTGCCCGAGGATACTTTTTTAATTGCTTTTCAGAAAGAGTAAAAAGGGGAGAGAGAGAGAAAGGTGGGGGAGAGGGGGAGAGAGAGAGAATCATCTCTGTGAGAGAGACACATCGAGTGGCCGCCTCCCTCACTCACCCGGACCAGGCCGGGGATCGAGGCTGCAGCCGAGGTCCGTCAAACCTGGGACCCTTCGGTCCGCAGGCCAGCGCTCCAGCCTCTGAGCCAAGCCGGCTAGAGCTATACATTTAATTTTAGAACAACTGTTCCGTAAATGACGTCACAGTTTATGACACTCCTGATGTTTGCCTTTGTCCCTTGGCCGGTGTGTAGGTGGTGGCCCTGGGGGACGTTCCAGATGGTACCCTGGTCACCGTGATGGCCGGCAATGATGAGAACTACTCGGCCGAGCTGAGAAATGCGACCGCGGCCATGAAGAACCAAGTCGCGAGATTCAACGACCTCAGGTTTGTCGGTCGGAGTGGAAGAGGTAGGTAGCTGTCAGCACCGAACTTGAAACCCAAAGTATCTACATGGCAACTGACCCAATTTGCAACACTCTAGAAGTTTCTGTGCTGGGATTCCTAGAATCAGTCTTTCCTCTTATTACCGCTCCCTCGAGCTTTTAAAAAATATTTATTTAAAATTTAATGTTTTTAACAGAATCTAGCTTTTACAGTATTGCTTTCTGGTTTGCAACATGTAAAACGTGAATTGTGAATTTCAGGGAAAACCCTCAGCTCTTTTCTAAGGTGTGAAAATATAAGACTTACTATCATGGAAACTAATTCTCAGAAATCTGTACAATGGAAGCCTTGCGCTTAGAGTCCGAGTGCTCTCTATGGCAGATGACAGAGTTTCTTTTTTTTTTTTTTTTTAATATATCTTTATTGATTTAAGAGAGAGGAAGAGACAGAAACATCAATGATGAGAGAGTCATTGATCGAGCCCGCAACCCGGGCATGTGCCCTGACCGGGAATCGAACCCCGATCGCCTGGATCCTAGGTTGACGCTCAACCGCTGAGCCACGCCCGGCCAGGCAGATGACAGAGTTTCAAACTACCATTTCTAATCATTGTAGGGATATAAAGGGTATGATTATTGAAATGCAGTTTCAAGTAAGCTTACCTTTCTGTGGTAAAATAGGAAGAAACGGTGCTTGGTCAACTTGACAGCAAATGACCTCCTGTTATATGGAATTTGGAGGCCTTGTTATTATTTGGGGGTAGCCCAGCTCACATTTTCAGTACTAACATTAGTAAAGGCTGGACCGTCCAGAGGATCTGTTGGGTTAGGGCAGTTCTATGGGTAGTGTTCTTATTTGTTGCCCATTTTCAAAGAATTAGAGCAGAAAGAGGGCTAACTCTTGGCTCATTGTAGTCTCCTCCAGTTTCTAGTTATTTTCAAATATTGTATTTTCTCTACATTGTAAGGACCTATGTCCTACTTTATAAATAGCAGTAAGTACCAGAAGTTTCACTGGAAGAGACAGGATAGTTTGTTTTAAAAATTTCCTTTCTATAATATGGTATTGAATAAGCTTATGAATTGCAGGTATTTTGAGTATAGTAAAAACACACAGTAAATACCCACATCACGGTAGATGACTGTTGTAGTGAAAAAAAATAAATAAAAGTACAACCAGTGGACATATAACAAAAGAGTCATCATCACTCCTTACGAAGGCGTTCACAAATAAAAGGGAATCTGTGTTCTTGGGGAATTCGGTTAGTTGAAAGGAAGAAAGTGAAGGCGTGTTGATGTTTTTGGCTATTGTTTTTGCTATGCTAGCTGCCTGGAGCATTTTCAAAATAGAACCACAGATGGGGAAATTTTTTAAAAAAAATAACATGGTTGAAAATATATGTTCATAGTACTATGTCAATAATAGGGAAATGCAAAAAAAAAAAAAAAAAAAAAAAATGACATCCACTTACTGAAAGCAAGAGGGATGCTAGGAGGTATAAAAGCCTAAGCCATTAAATGAGTTCACTTGTTCTATTAAAAGTCCCCGCCTTTCAGCAAATGGAATTCACATTATGATTCAGAGATGTGTGTTCAGAAAACATCTTGAAGGCTTCGGATGAGTAGCTGGCAGAGTGGGTGCGAAGCCAATAAAAAGCCGGGGCCCCACCTCCTGGTCGGTGCCTCCCGGCCTGGCACACAGTCTCCGCTCAGTTCCGTGGGCTCCCACCCCCAGGAACTGATAGCTGAGAATCGTTTGGTTGCCTTTCCTGAGAAAGCGATGTTAGCTTAGGATGCCTCTGCCTGGGTCCACGTGTCAGGTTTTGGTTATGAAAGTCCTGGAAACTGTTTCGTGGCCAACGCCAGTGGCATTTTCCACAAGAAGCTCGGCCGGGGCTTTCTGGCAGGTCGGTGACGGTCAAGAATGAGGTTCTGAAAGCAGCGGGCCCCCGTTTCTGGCATCGGGGGCTGGTCTCTCGTCTCGTTGGCCATTTCTGTTTTGAGTGGGTGACTAATAGGCGCTCGTGTTTACTTGGGTAACAGCGAACTGTTTCCCCAAGGTGTGGATTGTTTGCACTCGGCTGCCCGATTCGTGCCAATGTGCCCTTGAGTTTGCATAAAACCCAAAGTAAAATAGCTATGACCAAGGCTGGGCTGTGTCTGATAACCCGGAAAGAGAAAGCTAATTGAAACACCCTAAGTGGACAGTATGTCTTTTCAATGGTGGCTGCTGCCTCCCATGAGCGATAATAGGGAGTCTGAACCCCAGGAACCCCAAGCGGACGTCTGGCCCAGTTACGGTCACCGTGTGTATTGTTGGTCTTAAGTGATTTTTTTTTTTTTTTGGTCGGTACAACCAGACAAAAATGAGCTGTCAAAACGGCCCTGTTTGTCTAATAATTTCTCCATAGTCGTAAAATGCAACTCGGTTTTACTCTTTCAAGTGTAGATGTCGACATGAAGGCTGCCAGGTTTTTTTCTTTGTAATTTGCTCCCATTAAGAAGACAGCAGATGATTCTCACTAATTTTGACAATTAGTCTCCACCTTCTGCACTGAATGTGTCCTTCACAAGTTTCATTACGGTTCCTTTAAAGTGATCTTAGGACGATTTTGTATTTCATTTTCTGTTTTTGAAAATGTGCCTGTAAGCGTGTCATTGGCAGGGACACACCCCGCAGTGGCCGCGGAGGCCCAGGCTGTGGGCTCATCCACACATTTCCACGCAGTTTAACACTCTGACCCCGGGCACCGGTCTGCTGGAGCCTCCCGGGGGCCCGGGGCTCAGTTCCCAGTGAAGGGGAGAGAGAGAGAAGTTCCCTTTTCTTTGACCAGCTGCCAGTCCGTGGGGATTGTCACGCCTCGAGAAACTGCCAGCGGTTGAACATGGAGGGTTTTTTTTTTGTTCTGCAAAACTGATCTGTCTGGGTGCTGGCTGAGGTCCAGGACCGAGGCTCTAACCTCAAGTTCAGCCTGCAACTGGGAAAACCTGCCCATCCGGCTTTTACGGCCTTGCTGACAACACTGTCCCCTAAAACCCATTGGTGAAGCTCTGGCAGTCCACCTTCCTCCTCCCTCCCCTCCGTTTCCTCCGCGTGGGTCTTAAATCTTGCTTGGGGTGCGTCTGACCACTGGCACTTTCTCGCGTTGATATGTCGTCTCCATATAGTGACGGTTCCCTCACGAAGGAAGGAGAGACGGCAGCCCAGGAGATGAGGGGCTGTGCCCGCACACAGGTGGTTCAGAACCACTCGCACTTAACCACACGCCCTGGGACGCCCCCTCCCTCCTCCCGAAAATGGGAGTTCAGGATCAAAAGGAATTCTCTTCGGCCAAGTTAATGAGCAGTTTGCATCAGCCGCTAAGGCGGGTGTTATGGATCTTTTCAGTTATGAGAAAGGACATCATGGCTGTGGCTGAGAGACATTTGAGAAATTTTAGCAATGAGATCTATGAATGCTTCCGGCCCTATCCGAGCCCTTAATCAGTCGGAAAGGAATTGATCCGTCAGGGAACAGGGCTTCGGCTAATTCATTTCAGAACCAAACAGGAAATCTGCCAGACTGTACCACCAACCACACGGTGACAGAGGGGGCAGCCACTGCAGACCCTCCTGATTTTAACAAGGATGTGACTGTTGATCTTTGGGGAACATCACAGGCGATTCTGAGAATCCTCCGGAAGCCTTCTCCCCGGGAGAAAAAAATGCACAAGTCCATGTACACACACAGTGTCCTGTACAGTTGCAGTTTCCGGGGCCACCGAAGCTTATCTACGGACCTTCCGGGGACCCGTGGGCCCCCAAGCCAAGAGTCTGTGGATTTGGAACCTCATCTTGACCATGGAGGGCCAGCCTGGGTCTGTGCCACACGTTGTGGGTAACCAGAAAACACACATGTAAACAAGCAAGAGAGAGAGACTTTCCTGTACCCTGTGCTGCCTCGGCCACACCTGGGTTCGTTGTGGCCAGGACACGCTTTGTGTATGTGGGAGAGCAGGTCCCGTTCGGGCTGCTGGTCCCGACCCCTGGAAGGCTGTCAGGGTGCGCGCACGGAGCCCCCCTCAAAGGGAAAGGCCCGTCTGTCACGCGGGGGCACCTCTTCTCTCGACCCCCTGGGCCCCTCGCCGCAGAGTTGCCATGCGACTCGCCCGGCCGCCAGCGAGGCCACGGGTCTGTGCCCCGCTGGGATGGGGCTCCTGTTCTGGGCGGATCTTTGTGTACGATGCCCCCCCGACAACTTTAATCTTGCTCACTTTCAAAACAGTGCCCTCCCCCAGCGCGTTTATAAAATGGAACTCATTCCCTGGGCCCTTGCTGTGAATGTCTTCCCGGCCACGATAGTTACGCCCGCAGTCTGGGCTGCTGCATGTTTGTGGAGTGTTTCTTACTCAAGGCATTTTCATTCTTAGGTTATTTTGCATTATTTGGGGGGGCTGTATGGGGAGGTCGCCTTTCAGATGAATGAGAGGCTGTGGGTGAGAGGAAGAGAGGCATGTTTGGAAAGGGCACTCCAGCCCAACAGAGCCGTGTGTTCCCGGAGCCGCTGTTACTGAGCAGTGGCCCGAATGACTCACGGTGTTATCACAGGACCCAGGTCATTCTCTGCTCCGCACAGACTCACTTAGTGAGGGCAGGAGAATTCGGCTGGCAGCCCCAGCTCGCTGCTTGGAGAGTCCTGAAGACGGCCAGCTGGCCGTCAGATCTCCTGGAGAGAATGCAGGGGACAGGCTTGATCGTATTAAAATCAGCTCTCCTATCCCCCCTCCTTTTTGGGGTTGTGATTGGTCTACACTTTAAAATAATACGTAGATACTGACATCTGTTTGTAGACTTCAGTGTGGGCAAATATGGATGGAAAGAGACCCCGCCTCGGACACACAGCGCCTCGGGCGGCCTGGCAAATAGCCCCTCAGAGGGCAGGTCGAGAGCTGGCGTCTATGATCTGACGGGACTCATCTCTCGAGATCAGGTCTCTGTTTTATGTTTCCCAATAAAAGGGCAACAATACTTTCTTAAAGCCAGCT